CCCCACAAACCCCAAAAAACCCTCCCAGAGTTCTTTAACTCACTACTCTTTCCACACATCAAGAGGCATACAGCTTCCTCTCTACAATGTTGCAACCCGTGCTGGGGGAAAACTTCAAGGACCAGTGTCTGCTTTCTTTTCTGCTCTCTGGCACCCCATGGGTACATCCCCATTCTGGAGAGGAAGAAAGAGATTCAGAGACACACTGGGGTACGCGAGGTCTCTCAGAAAGTTGGGAGGAAGGAAGGGAAGTGGGGGAGCAGGGCTGAGGTTAAGGAGGAAAAAAAAATCACTTTTTTTTTTTTAAAGATTTATTTATTTATTTCAGGGAGAGGGAGCACAAGTCGGGGGACAGGCAAAGGGAGAGGGAGAGAGAAAGAATCTCAAGCAGACTCCCTGCTGAGCTCAGAGCCCAACAGAGGCAGGTCTCAATCCCAGGACACAGAGATCATGACCTGAGCCAAAACCAAGAGTCAGATGTGTAACCAACTGAGCCACCCAGGCGCCATTAAGGAGGAAAAAAAAAAAATCACTTCTAACAGCTGAGAGGAAACTGTTTTAAGCAAGAAAGAATGATTTTTCTAGAAGCCCCTACCATCTCAGGTCACAAAACAGCCCCGGGAGGAGTAAATTTCCACTCATCCATGGTTCTGAGATTTCCCACACCCAGCCTTGCACTTTCCCTTCTTGGGTTTTGGGGGTGGTATCCTCTCATCCCTACCCAGCAGATGGCCCTGCTCGGCTGGGCTGTTCCCACCCTCAGGGGCAATCCTTCCCCTAAACTGTGATACCAGGAGGAGGCAGAGGGCGCTGGAGCTTATCCCTTCTGTGAAGCCGCCACCTGCCACCACCTACTGCCACCACCTACTGCCAGCTGAGCCCATTCTTGTCAGGGCAAGAGGAGGATGGTGCCCCAGAGTCTTCTGCCTAGAGCTCAAGTAACACACTCTCCTGATTCTTGTTTTAATGCTCCTCAAACAGCTACAAAGGCAGAGTAAGCCACTCTACATAAGGGCCATTTAAGAGACATGAGGAAAACCCTTTGTTGCTTAAAAATGTCTCTTGCCTTATCACACCTCACCATTAGCCATCATCTCTTTTGGTTATGAAACTCTGCCTTTGTAAATGCAGCAGCCTCTGAAGGAACCACCCATTACTTATTCCCAAGTCATAGGGTCTATACGTTCTTTTTAGAAATCCAGCCTTGGGCAAGCACAGGCCAACTGCTGCTGCATGGAAGCTCAGATGAGCCATTTGGGAAAAGAATGTGCCAGTGAATGCAAGCCCCTCCTCTCTGGGCCTGGGTGTCCCTATCCATAAATGATGGGCCTGGGCTTAGTGGTGTCCAGGGTTTCTTCTAGATGTCACTTCCTTGATTCTGGCTAGCTCCAGGATTTGAAGTCATTCTGAATACATCCAGGTTTGGGCTCAACTCAACTCACACAACTTCAGTGATAGGGTGCCCCCAGGCAACCTCAGCCCCCTTAACCCTTTCCCCCAAGCCCTCCAGGGAGAACAGAACCTGCTCCTTTTGCTGTTCACACCCTCCTGCCTCCCATCGGACAATAAGAAGCCGGGGTCCTGTTTTTAAACAGTCAGGTTTGGACATTTTCTTTTCCAACCAACCCTCCAGGCAGCCACTTCTGTAGTGGGGGTGCAGGGAAGTCGAGTCTCTGTGGCCGCCACGCACCACACCCACAGAGTAAATACACCACGCCCCCTCCCAGGTAAGGGTCTGTAGCTCCTGCGGAGTTTAGGCTGAGGGGGGTCTGAAGCGTCCCTACACAGTGATCCCCTTTCTAGGAGCCGGGCGGGCGTGCGAAGCGCATTCCCGGGCGGAGACAGCGTGGCTCCAGCTCAAGGAGGGACCCGTGGAGTTCCTGCTGCTCAAGGTGAGCCAAGGCGCAGGACCGCTCAGGCCAGCCCCTCTCCCTTACCCCCACCCGCAGTGCAGGGCAAAATGGCTGTGGCCAGCAAACGATGGCCTGTTCTATTACTTCCAGATCGAAGTTGCGGCAAGTACGTTCACTCGCCAGAAACTTTCAAAGGCCCAAAGAGAATAATCCAGATTCATCTCCTCCTACGACACCAACCCAATCTCCAGACGTCGGTTGGCAATACATACTCAGGTTTCTTTTGATTTTTTTTTTTTTTTTTTTTAACGAAATCCTAACCCTGGGAAAAGCTGGGCACTGGTACAAGGACGTCGCTCTCCAGTAAGCGCATTCTCTGCGCGGCTCCTGAGGCGAGTTGGGAGCGCAGCTTTGAAACCAGCGCACAGCCAGTGGACCCAGGCCTGCTTCCAACATTTGACCCATGCTGCGAATTTGGTTTTTCCATCTAGGTCCTGGAGACTGTTTACCCCCTTGGCCTGTCTAAAGGGGGCCAAACGACAGGGGATGGGGTGGGAGGAGAGAGACTTTCCTCACTCTGGCCCCGCTACCCCGATGCTCCGGGGACCTGCGCAGCCTGCGGATCCGCCGCCACCACCCATCCCGCCCCTTCCCTGGCACGGGCGCGGACGCGCCAGCCACTCACAAACTCGAAGATGAAGAGCAGGTCCGGGAAAGTGGCGAAGACCGCGAAGCCTCTGGGCAGGGTGCTGCCACCCGACGCCGCTGCGGGGGCCATGCGGGCGTGCTGGCGTTGGCCTCGGGACTGGACGCGCGCGGACCGCTCGCTTGCTCTGCGGAGCCCAGTGGCCCGGGCGCCCCCGCGCGCGGGTTAAGAGTAGGGGAGCCGGGGGCAGAGGAGGGAGGAGCTGCGGTCACCGCCCGCCCTCTCCCCGCCCAAGTCCAAGACGCGCGCCGCCAGGGATCGGGCCCCGAGCGCCGCGGGTGCAGTCCTGACCCACCCGGAGGGCGCGCTGCGGGCTTGGGGCGCGGCGGGCGGGAGACGGACTCCTACGTCCCACCTCCGGGGCCACCTCCCACCGGGAGCGGGACAGAGTCACTTCGGCGAGGCGCTTAGCACGCTTTGCACGGGATCACCATCCCTTAAGAATGATAACCATCAATACCTAGGCCCCCCAAACTGCCCATCGTGACACCCCTAGGGTCCCCATTGCTTTAACTGTTCTTAAGTTGGGTCTCCTTCATCTTTCCGCGCTGGGTGCGTTGGGAAGTGCGACCTCCGCGTTCAGGCTCCAGGTGGAACGAGTTTTGGCGTCGGCGGCAGGCTGGGGGTCTGCGGGGGCGGCCCTGAGACCAGCTCCAGCCACCCATCCTTCTCCCCGCGCATTCCGAGCCCAGCGCGCGGTCCACTCCCCTATGCGTTGGAGCTGCGAATAGTCTGAGGGTAGGAGGTTGCTCTCAGCCATGTGACCCCCGGAGGAGGGTTGCTGGCGGCCGTGCTGGGGCAAGCCTGCATTGAATTCAAGGGTCGGGGAGGGGCACTTTTAGAGCAGATCTATCTCCTTCTCTCCGAGGGGGTATCCTGGGGCCTCTGCGGGTAAGATGACTCCTCCCCATGTGCTCTGACTGCCTGGATTTTGTTTCTTTCTGGACCACGATTCATTTATTCTTTGTTGCCTTTATTTTAAGACAACTATCAGACTCCAGTGGTTGCCCATTTATTTTTAAGATACTATTACAGTACTGAGTTTTCTTCTACAAATCCTAAAGCCTAAAATCTGCTGGGAGTTCAGGACATGCCCCCAGATCAGACTCCCCAGTGCTTTTTTTTTCCCCCAAAGATTTTAATTATTTAGTTGACAGAGAGAGTTAGAGAGCACAAGCAGGGGAGCAGCAGAGGGAGAGGGATAAGCAGGCTCCCCGCTGAGCAGGGAGCACAGTGTGTGATTCCATCCCAGGACTCTGGGATCATGACCTGAGCGGAAGGCAGACGCTTAACTGACTGAGTCACCCAGGCGCCCCTCTCCAGCGCTTCTGTAGGCTTCACCCACAGCAAAGAGCAGGACACAGGGCTTCCCTCTCTCCAGGGGGACCCTCAGTCTTTCCCCTCTACACAGCTCTTTTTCTCCTAGTCCCTATGAAGAGAAGTAAATTCTGGACACATTTTCCAAAGCAAAAATCCATGCCCATTGATGTGGGAAACAAAGACAAAAGAAAGCTTAAATTTCCTTACTCCCTATAGCTCACTGACAGGTCCTTGAAATAGGCAGAGTGATCTTCCTCTAGGAAATCAGCTGCCTCAATGTTAATGCTTTGCTGGGGGGCAAAAAGCAATTTTAGCCTGACCCCCCCTAGATTCCTGTAAATCTACTTTAACATATAAAAATTGCTTTGGAAACTTCCTTTATCTCTACCCTTCAAGATACATGTTGGCAGTCATCCTCCAAGCATATGGCCTGCTGATATATATCTGAAGAGCCTCATGACTTGAGTTTTTACCAAATAGTAATAAATGACCTTTTCCTAACAATAGCTAGCCCCCTCAGATCCTAGAAACCTTGTTTCCAAAATCCCCAGGGAAGCTTGTGCTGTCCCTACCCCCCTCCCAACTTGAAACTATATAATCAGTCGCTCCTCACAACCCCAGTACAGCTCTTTCTGCCCACAGGTCCTGTCCCTGTGCTTTAATAAAACCCGTTTTTTGAGCCAAAGATGTCTCAGGAATTCTTTCTTGGCCATTGGCTTCAAACCCTAACATCTTTCCTACATCACTCATGAGCTGTCCATTCTGACCACTTCTGGAGAGGCACCAGGAAATTGAAATGAGAAAACCCCACCGTCCCTCTGGGACCCCTTGGTGCTGCTGGCTTTGGTGGCCTGAGACCTAGGGTGCCATTGTGCCAAGGCCTGTTGGCCCCTACCAGGTCCCCAGGGCCAGGACCTCTCCTGGCCAAGGTCAAGGGACGGCTTGTCCCTTGCTCTGTGAATGCCTATCTCACCTGTGGTCCTTTGCTTGATGTTCATTTTCCGGACCATACTCTACCTTCTGCAGGGTATCTACCACGTCCATCCTCCATGTGCCTGCCTTCTTCCCTGTATATCATGTCTTTGCTGCCTGGCTAAGAACCTAGCCCATGGTAAATCCCCAAAGAAGGTTTACCCAATGCCAGAATGGACCCAGCCTTGACTGTGCTGACTGCCCACGGAGGAAATTAAATGACTGTGAACGTAAAGAGTATTAGTAAGTAGAGATGGGTCTGTCTTGATTTCATAGCAGAGCTTCTGGAGGGTGCTCTGAGCTACTTGCTGATGATTTAGTTGGTTCATATTTGTAAGAAGCCCAGGACCATACTTTGGTTTCGAGCAGGATATGAAAAAACAAACTTAGCCAATAATAACTCAATGCAATATCCTTGGTCTTCATAGCACATAGTGTGTGTGAATGTGGGGGTCAGTCTAGATCTGGGGCTTCTGTCAAAATAATAAAATGGCCTAGGGCCATTTCTATGAAGTGGAAAATGACAATTGCTATGCCATCCTGAGGGCACAAGAGGTTACTTCCAGCTTTTATGCTAGGGGAAAGAATCGGGAGGGAGGTAAGGGACGTTTTCAAGGAAGGATTCACAGGACAGGAATTGCCAGTAAATAATGTGATTTGCTTTTGAGGTCTGTAGAATGACTCCCATTTTACTGATGAGGTATGGAGGCTCCGAGAGGTTAAGTAGCTGCTCATGGCCACACAGCTTGTGAGTGGTAGAACTCAGCCTTGAACCTGAATGATGCTGTGTCTCCAAAGGTACAAGCACTTGATTAAAACAATGCTGAAGATGGGCAGTTGCCAACCAAATGCCATGCTCCGTGCAGCCACCCAAATCCAGGCTTAGTGGTCCTCTTGAGCACGGCAGTGGGCACCTGTTCCCTGAGGGATCTCTGCCTGTCTGATAGGGTTCGGAACTTTTCCTCCCCTGTCTGGGTACACAAGGCTGGAAGTCATCATCCCCATTTATGGACAGGGAAGCTAGATGAAGGTCCGAGTTCAGAGACCTCCCCCTGGGCCAGCACTTATTTCAAGAGATTTTATTTTTATATAGTCACCCCACGGCCCCAGATTTCCACCCACGGCACGAAGCAATGAGGGCACCTGCTGGGTGGATGGATTAATGACAGTCACAGCTGCCTTGGCCCCAGGAGGGCAGAGGGGAATTAGCATTGCTGACAGCCTACTAAGTGCCCAGCACCGCCATAAGTACTTGGCCCACATGACCTCAATTGAACCGCACAGAGCCCTTCCAGTAGGTATCACCCCACTGCACAGGCTCAGAGTGGAGAGGAAATGTGCCCAGACCACATGGAAGGCAACTGGGCCTCCTGACCCTAGAAGGCAGATTATCTGCACTACCCCCATGCTTGCTGCGTAAAATGCACACATTTAAAAACTAGAGGTGGTGGTTGCCCCTCAGAGTGCTGTCTTCTGGTGGGTGGATGAGCACCTGTGCCTTATTCCCCCCAGTGACCACGGACCACTGTATGTGATCTTTTCCCCTTGTTCCCAACTTCTTCTAGATTCGTGTTTCCTAGTGTCAGGGAGAGTTGGCCGTCCCCCACCCCTTGAGAGAGTCATCGCCAGGCTCTGAGATTCTCAGCACAAAGCAGGGGCTCAAATTGTCTAGGTGTCACAGGCGCAGGGGTGGAGGGTGGAGGGTCTTTAACGAGGGAAGACAGAGTCCCTGCTCCCTAGGGAGTTCCATCCAAAAGGGACTCCATTACATTCAAAGTCAATAGACAAGGGGACCGGGCCTGTGCTGGGCACTTCCCCTGTCCCTGCAGGCTGACAGCGGACACAGGGCGCCCAGGCCAGCTACTCTGCAAACAGAGGGGGTAGTCACAGTCTCCCATTCCTGAGCGCCTCTTGGGTGCACTGAAGAGGTAGCAGTAAAGTGAATAAAGGTCTCTGCACGCAATCGTCCCATCAATACCAGTTCAGTAAGTGCTGGGCAGCAGGAACAGCATGGGAGCCGGCCAGCCACCATCCTGCCTTTCTGAAGCTTATGTGGCACAGGAGACAGATCAATCAATCAGACACTGCCTAATACATGTGTAATGAAGTTTGGTGCTGGAAAGAGAGGGCAGGGAGCCCCAGGGGCAGGTACCAGTGCTGCCTGGCTTGGCCTCGGGGTCAGGGGAGCTTGTGAAGGATGGAGTGAGTGGTGGTTGCCCAGGGGTAGGGGAAGAGACCGGCTCCCCAGAGGAATGGTGTGTGCCAGGCCCCTGGCTCTCTCCTGGAGGAGGCAGGCAGTGCTCTGTGCACAGAGGGGGCTGCAGGTATGAACGCGGACATCCATAACATGGGTCCGAGGCACTCAGGTAGGAGCGGGACATAGGGTGTGAACGGCCACAGCAGTCCAGGACAGAAGGAAGTCAGCACAGGTAGCAAATTCTGTGCACGGGGGACTGAGAGGAGGGCCCGTGCAGACAAGAGGGAGAAGCGGGGGCAGGCCAAGGGAGCAGCATGGATGAGTCCTTTGATCTCTGTGGAGGCTCAGGGTGGCTCTTGGGGCAGAGCTGGAGAGGCCAAGGGCGGGCTGGGCTTAGGAGAAAAGAGGCGAAATTCAAAGGGCAGAAAGCATACATCATGGGACGCCTGGGCAGCTCAGTCACTTAGGTGTCTGCCTTTAGCTCAGGTCATGATCCCAGGGTCTGGGATCGAGTCCTGCATCGGGCTCCTTGCTCAGCAGGGAGCCTGCTTCTCCCTCTGCCTGCCACTCCCCCTGCTTGTGCG